CTAAACAGGGCTGCCTTCAGATGTCTTCTAAAAATCACATAGTTGTTCATTTCCCTTGTCATCTAGTGGGAGGGCGTTCCACAGGGTGGGCGCCGCTACCAAGAAGGCCCTCTGCCCATAGCTGTCAACATTTCCCTGTTTTAAAGGGAAATTCCCTTATTTCGAATAGGATTCCTCGCAAGAAAAGGGAAAAGTTGACAGCTATGCCTCTGCCTGGTTGCCTGTAACCTCACTTCTCGCAGGGAGGGAACTGCCAGAAGGCCCTCAGCGCTGGACCGCCTTCCTTTCATTTCTTTCCTTTCATTTACTTTATTTATTAAAGGTTCATAATCCCACCACTCATGATGTCTGATTTTAAGGCAGGCAGCATATGACGAAATTCCCATAGACTTCAGAGGAAGAAACTCATTAACAAAGTATTAGGAAAATTAACATTACTGTTCCCAAAAAATCCCTTTCCTGATGACATGCTGGAAAAATATTCCTAGACTACAGGAACTTTAGCTGCTTATTTTTTTTAAAAAAAAAAAGTTTTTGAGAACTCAAATCAAAATCCAAAAACCGTACTTTGAAGCTATGATAAATTGCATATACAGTACTGGATTGCAAAGTTATTTCTCACCTAGGCAATTCTCCCCTTGACACTGACTTGACCATGTAATTTTAAACTTGATTCATCGTTCTCAAAGTCTGGAGGTCACTAGTCTTCACCTTTAAAAGCTAACATTTTAAAGTCCTTTGTAAACAAACCCAACCTTTGTTTTATCCTTAAGCCAGCTACTGCCATCCAGAAACCAATTCCATAAATGTTTATTATCCTTGGGGCTTGATTGTTCCAGAGCTTGAAAGAAAGAAAACATACAGGCTTCAAATTGCTTTTAATTTAATCACAAAAGCAAAAGTGTTCAAGTAGTCTACAAATCTAATGTGCCCTCTGGGAGCCAGCAACACACCACACCATCGACATTTACTTGTATGTCACCATTCCTTAGTTAAACCACACTCAAGGCAACTTACAACAACAAAGGATTGACAAAATTACAAAAATAGTGCAAAATTTACGTAGCTGTAAACAATAAATGGAAATAAGTTTGTATTTGTTTGGTTTGATTTTGTGACCTTTGTCAACATCCAAGAACATGATCGATCTCCGCCGTTTGTGTCTAAAAGGATCTGTTTAAAGTCTCTTGAGTTGTTATTTTTCTTTCCTTATGTGTCATCTCCCTTTTCTTGAATCTGTAATATTAAATGGAGATTTTTATGTTGCTCTTGTTGTTGTTATATGGCACCATGCCTGATGATTACTATATAAGTTTTCATCCGTTCCCAACGTTTGTTATTTGTTTGCACTTGTCCATCGATTTCCCCAACAGTATATGCTTTTTTTTTTTGAAAAATTAGTTACGGCTATTACATAACTGACTTGGCTGTTAAAAGAGTTACCCAACTCAACTGAACACCCTCCCACCCATACACACACACACACACACACACACACATATATATATCAGCTGCAATACACAACACAAAGCCAGCCTCTTGTCGCATTTCTCTTGCCACTATTTCCTACCAAAGCCAAACCACAGACAAGCTTTTCACCCATTCCCACAAGCAAGAAAGAAAATGTGTGAGCAAATTTATTGACAGCTGCACGAATTATGATAGCTAGGAAGTGGAAGGGGCAAGCAGAATATAAAATGGAAGAATGCTATAAAGAGGTGTGGGATATAGCTATTAATGATAAATTAACGTGTGCCATTAAGGTAATACAGGGAATACACAGGAGAAATGATTTTGAGGAGATACGGAAGGTGATTGTAGAATTTGTATTGTTAAAACAGAAAGGGATCAAACCATCGCAAGAAGTGCTGAAACTTTGGGAGGTTGGATGGTTCCAATGGAATGGTCTTGGTGGTGGGGTGCACATTCTTATTCTTATTTATTATTACTTTGTCAAAATAAAATAATAATAATCATCAGTGCTTTTTTTCTTTAAAAATGTTTAGGGGTACTCTCATTTTGACTCAAGAAAATCACCATTGTATAGTTCAAATCTGGAAAAATAAATACTGTAAATAGACAGAAGTACAAAGATTCACAAAATGTTTAGGGTTCTAGATTCAGGTAGGTAGCCGTGTTGGTCTGACACAGTTGAAATATATATAAAAAATTAAAAAATTGTCCAGTAGCACCTTACAAACCAACTAAGTTTGTTCTTGGTATAAGCTTTTGTGTGCATGCACACGAAAGCTTATACATACATCGGGTTACAGTCACTTCAGCTTGTGTTTTTTTGGGTTGCAGACCGCCAAAATCCAAAAGTACTGGAATGGGTTACTTCCGGATTTTGGCGGTCGCGCACGCGCAGAAGCGCTGAATCGCAACCCACGCATGCACAGACGCAGGTTGTGAATGCTGCGGGTTGCGAACGTGCATCCCGCACTGATCACGTTCGCAACCCGAGCGTCCACTGTACCAAGAACAAACTTTGTTGGTCTCTAAGGTCCTACTGGACTTTTTTTTAAAAAAATTATATATTAAAATGTTTAGGGGTATGTGTCCCCCCAAGAAAAAAACCACTGATAATAATAATAATAAATAATAATAATAATAATAATAATACATTTTTAAAAAAGAAAATGTGGTGTGCGTGTGTCTCCTTATCTTTTTTTTTAAATGATATTTATTAAAATTTCAGAAAAAAGAGTTACATAAAAAACAAGAAAAGCAAAAGCAATACAGAAATAAAAATACAAGAAAAATACAAAATACAAAATACAGAATAAAAGAATAAAAAACACTTAAAAAAAGATCAATCTTTCCAAGCCTTACATTCATATCCTTGTTTCCCTGACCTCCTCATACCTCCCTCTTTTGTATTCCAATTCAATTTGTTAGTCCAACAATTCCTTTCCTTCCTTTTTAATCCTAATCCTCAATCTTGATATATTGTAACATTAGATTTTTACAAATTAAAAACCAATTTTTCCATATTCTTTTGTACCTATACAGCTAGAAACCACTTAACTTCAATCCAACATCATTCTAACATTCATTTATTTTGCAATATTTCTGTAAGTAGTCTTTAAATTTCTTCCAATCTTCTTCCACCAACTCTTCTCCCTGGTCACGGAGTCTGCCAGTCATTTCTGCCAATTCCATATAGTCCATTAGTTTCATCTGCCATTCCTCCAGGGTGTGTCTCCTTATCAACTCCCAGCACTCTCAACAAACTACAACTCCCAGAACACTTTGAGAACAAGAGCCGCGGCTGGTTTAAAGCGGCGCCGTCGCGCTTTAAACGCCGGCTGTGTGACCGCGCCCTCAGGGAACAAATTCCTGCTTGCCGAAGAGGCGGCCATCCCTGTTGTTGCTGCGCTAAATCTCACCCTCCCGGCTCTCCTTTCCCCCTTTCCACAGCGTGTTTCCCTACCTGGCGGGTCCCCCCTCCCCCCCCGCCAGACTCACCTGTCCGGAGCCCCTCCCTCCGACGGAGGTGGTCCCTCAGCCGGCATCTTTCCCCCTCTCCCGCGCATGCGCACGCCGCTTCCGTCCCATCACTCTCTTTGACCTGCCCGCCTACCGCCGCCGCGGCTGCCGCTGAGCGCGCGCGCCCGCCCGCCCGCCCGCCGCCCGCGCGCGCCCTGGTTGCGAGAGCGAAGCTTCCCCCTTCTTCTTCTTTTTTTTCCTCAGCGCGGGAAGGGAGGAGGAGGAGGAGGGAAGGAGGGGGGGAGCGGAAGCCATCCGGGTCTCTCTGCGCATCCCCGCGCTCGCCCTCGCGGAGGGGAGAGGGAATCCCTGCCGGTTGGGCGGGCGGCCGCCGGAGGCCGAAGCAGCAGCAGCAGCGATGCATCTGCACCAGGTGCTCACCGGCGCCGTCAACCCGGGAGACAACTGCTACTCGGTGGGCAGCGTCGAGGACACCCCGTTCACGGTGAGGGACGGATCCGTCCTGAGGCGGAGGGTCAAGGGAGGGAAGGCGAGGAGAGAGAGGGTGGCACCCAAAGGAGATGCAGAAGAAGGCACCCTCGTCGTCCTGCCAGGCTTTCTGCCTTCGGGGTCTGGGTGGGGCACTGAAAATTTCTATTCTCCCCCCCCCCCAAAAAGCTATTTTTGGTCTGGTTTCCGTGCCCTGGTGTGGGTGTGTGTGTGCGTGTTTGTATATGCGATGCAAAATTCGGCTGGACCTTATCCCGAAAAGGTTTTGAATCTTTATACTATAATATACTACAATATAATGTCATGTCATGTTGTTATGCTGTCTGTGGTCCACAAAATTCGGCTGGACCTTGTCCCAAAAGGTTTTGAATCTTTATATTATAATATACTGAAATATACTATAATATAATGTTATGTCATGTTATGCTGTCTGCGTACTTGTCCACAAAATTCAGCTGGACCTTGTCCCAAAAGGTTTTGAATCTGGATACTATAATATACTGAAATATACTATAATGTAGTGTTATGTTGTTACGCTGTCTGCATATTTGTCCACAAAATTTGGCTGGACCTTGACCCAAAAGGTTTTGAATCTTTATACTGTACTGTAATGTATAATATACCTGTGGGTGGTATTCGGTGTTAGTCCAACCCAAAGTAGGCCAACTGAAATTAATGCACACCTAACATATCCACTCTGACTTAGTTGGATGCAACCCAACACGGATATTCCTCTGATGCAGTGGTTCCCAACCTTTTTTTGGCCATGCCCCACCTAAGCATCTCTAAAATCTTGATGCCCCCCTCTGCGTGACATATAATTCTTATTATTCAAAAAGTGCACTCCCATTCACGTGGAGGAAGCCTAAAAGACCATTCCCTGTTAATAACTCATTCTGGAATTGCCCCCCTCCCTAAAAATCAAATTGCCCTCCTGTGGGGCACGTGCCCCATGTTGGGAACCACGGCTCTGACGTGTCTGAAGTACCGAATCTCTATTTATATTCCATAATAATGGATGTATCTATATATTTATCTAAGGTGTGTATCGGATCAGGGAGGCATGCATTGCCCAGCTGGTAGAGTATGAGACTCTTAATTTCAGTGTTATAGGTTCGAGCCCCAAATTTGGGCGGAAGGTTTCTGTATTGCAGGGGGTTGGGCTAGATGACCCACGTGGTCCCTTCCGCCTCTACGGTTCTAGGATTCTATGACCTGCCCTTGCTAACTAAAATAGTGTACCTGTGTGTGTGTATCCTATTTACTTCCTTTTTAAAACAGCATTATATATTTGTGGCTTTAGTGGCAAGGTGAATAGTGGTGAGGGAGCTGGCAGGTGCTTCCCAACAGGGTGAGGGAATTATAGGATGGTTGGTGTGTGTGTGTGTTGGGGGGGGGATGACAGCATTGCCAAGTGGTCACTAAACCGCTCTGGCCTGCCCCCTTGCCTTTACATGAGCATTGATCCACAGAAATCAACAACTGAATCATGCAACTGCTTCATGACTGCTCTTAACAGGCCTGCTTGAAAACTTGGCAGTCTTATGGGGGGGGTGTTGGTTGGTAATATATCTTCTCCTTTCCTACCAGTGGTGTTGATGCCTGTCTTTTTAGGCATGGGAAGGCAGGGGCTGTAACTTCTAAAGTAAAGGCCTGTGGAAATAAATAGTGTTGTTGGTCAGTCCTGGCTGTCCTTCCAGCTGCATAATCTCTTCACTTCCTTGCGTTTGTTTATGATGTAATAATGTCCTTAGTCCCACTGGTGGTGAGTGGTAAAGATTTAGGGTACATTTCTTTTCCCCAGAGTACGCTGGGAGAGAACGGTGGAGGCAATGCGCATAGTCTGACTTTCTTGATGCAAGTCTTTTAAGTGAGAAAATCGCATAATGCAGAAAATACCTTGGTCCATCTTGTAATGAAAGTTATGTGGTTGCAACAGCCTGCTTAAATCAGGGATAGGAGACCTGCGGCCCTTCAGGTGTTGCTGGACTCCAACTCCCATCAGCCCCAGCCAGCATGGCTGGCGATCAGGGATTATGGGAGCTGTAGTCAAGCAACACATAGCTGGCCAAAGACACCTTACCTGTGACAAATGTTTCCTGGGCTAGCTGTGGATGAGCTTTGCAACTGAATGGAATATAACTTCCTCTGCTAATAATAAATGAAAGTGGGAGGGATCTTGCACCTAACAGCTTGTGCAAAAAAGCGTTGCTTTTTAGGAGTTTTTGAGCAGTAAAAACAACAACAACAATAATAATTAGCGTTTGGAGGAGAGGAGACTGGGCATGTTTATCTTTGTGACATATACAAGCCTGAAGTAATTTTTGTCAAAATTATTCTGATTATAGCATCTATTTCTCAGACACTTTGGGGGCCTGTTGAAAAACCTTTCTATTCAGAAATGGTTTCACACAGTTTTGCCCTTTTAATAACAATTCTCCCAAGAAAAGAAAGTATAGGTATTCACTCCAGAGTATTTTCTCTTTTCTGCTGCTATGCAGCTCTACTGACGTCTAAGGACACTGCACAGCCACTGCTTCCTGTGACATTCATAAAAACCGTACTCCGTAGTATTTCTTTCATCACAGTGGAATTCATCTAATAATATGTGGGCTGCATATTGTGTAGCCATTTTTGTCTGAATGCTTTCTCCAAATTTTGATCGTTATAAAAATGAGCAGACTCTTACTGCAGATCTTTGGGATACGTACTGTTTTAATGCCAGTTTGCTAACAGCACAGGCCAGAGACCGTGAGGCTGAAGGAGAGGAGAGATGGATTGATTTCATAGATCATTCTTGGCATTGCTGGTTTTCTTATATGTAAGTTCTGCTTAAGGAACTGGGGGGGGGGGAGGGGGCTGAAATCATGATTGGAAAGTGTAAAATAATTGTATTAGATGTGTGTGTTGTAATCTACGCCAGGCCAGGTTGTAAATGACAATGCCTCAAGGTCTTTCTTTGCTGTGATTCTCCTAAAAATGATCTTTTTAAAAAAGAGCCATTGTTTGTTGAGTGGTTTTATTGCTTGAATGCAGTAAGCTATCTCATGCCACAGAGACTTAGTTTTCTGGTGGTCTGAACTCTCAGTGTTTAAATTATATATTGTGTCTACAAGCAATTAGAAAGGAGGCAAGACATTGGCAGTCACCATATGAATGATTGCAGCAAATAGAGATCCTTATAATTAAGGAATTGCCCCCTTTTATCACAATCCCTCTCTCTCTTCCCTATTAAACCAGAAAAAACAAATGCACCAACCCTCACCTTTTCGTAATATCCAGGTTTACCTGCCCCAGTCTCCTCTATCCTGCTATTGAAAGTAATTCTGCTGGCTTCATTATTATTATTAATCTGTGCAGCCCCATCTATATACATGATGCTTTACAAAGAACCTGGAGTTACAATTAGGTAAATTAGGTAAAGGGACTCCTGGGAAAGTTCTCAATACGTTACTGTTTTGAGGTGACGTTTAAAGGAAATAAGAAAGGTGATCACACAACGGTGGTGGTTCCATCTTTAAAGGGCAGCAAGAAGAAATCATTTCAGGTAGAGCTGTGTGGGCAAAGGTCACTGGAAGGGATGTGTTGGGAAATAAGTGAAGATAGATAAGGAATGTCCTGCAAGGGGGGTGGTTAAAGATGAGGAAGATTGCACAGAATCAGGGAGTGGACAGGAAGCCCTGGAAGGGATTTTAGGAGGGGAATTGCAAGGTCAGAGCAACAAGCGTGGAATCGGAGTGCTTCATGGCTGCAGTTGGATGAAGGTGAAACAACTTAAGTAACTCTTCATCTCTACTGAGAGGTGCTTTGACATTTGCCTCATATTTTATTCTTCCACGCAGGGCATTTCCTTTGTCAGTATTGGCTTACTGATGTCGAGTTCTTTGTGTATGTCTTCCCCAGTAAGCCTGGGGATCTGCTTGCTAGGTCCCTACTGGAACTACCACACAAATAAAGAGGTGGAGTAAAGGTAGCTGCAGGCAGCCCCAAGTTCTGTGCTGCGGACCTGGAATTTCTCCTATCCCACTGAGGACAGTCAATCTTGCTGACTCTGCAATGGAGTGGGTGGGATTTTTGCAAAGGTAGCAAGCATCCCCTTCAGCAGAACACCGTAGAATGCTGATCTCTGGTAGTTTAGGGATATTAATTCCTCCGTTAAACAGTAGCGTGAGCAGAATGATGATGCTACTTTGTGAGGGTATTAAAAACATCAAACAGTCATGCTGCAACTGATCCTAAGATGGCTAGACTTCCCAGGCCTATCATTCATCTGTTGTTTGGACATCATATTGGTGGTGCAAGCTGTGCCAGTTACTGTTTTTAAAACAAGTCAGCTTCCACCTTCCATCTCTGTGCATTACTTGGGAGTCGTTAACTTTCACCATCTCTGTCCTGTGCAACCTGACAGAAATGAGCATTTTGGGAATAGTTTAGTCATCCCTGCGATTGTCTTTGTTCCTGTTTAGATTCATAGTGAGGCACTAGTGACCCTCCTGATGTTGTTGAACTCCCAGTTTTCATAAACCCCAGCCAGCATGGCTTATGGTAAAGGATTGTGGGAGTTGTAGTCCAATAATCTCTGGAGGTCCAGAGGTTCCCCACCTCTTCATTAGAACGCCAGTGACCCTAATGCTAAGTAAAACCATAGGAATTTTCTTTCTCACAGATACTGGGAATTACTCAGGGCAGTTTTGTTTAATGTTTTGTCCGTTTAGCCAAGGAACAAGAAGCTATAGTTACTTTGACCAAAGCTTTTTGCACTTTTTCCAGTGTCTCTGTGTGAATCTGTATTTGGCTCTTGAGATATGTTCTACTGCAAGAATATTGTTTCTGCCAGCCATTTGCAAAACAGTGTCCTGGTTTACATGTAATGATCCCAGTCTGATAAACCAGGTTTTATTAACCTGTGAATGAGTTGTCTGCCCTTGCACTGACACCTTGTGTCTCTGCTTCCCTCCTTCCTTGGCGCACTCAGCTTAAGCCTTAAGCAAAGGTCTCTTAGTTTCTTAAACCACGGTTTCCTGTGCCATGTGAATTGGGAATCTGGTTTAAGAAATGAAGATAGTTTCACTGAAGCTGAGCAAGCTTGTTCTGAGGTCAATGCAGCACAGCTTATCAGAGCAGGATTATTACGTCTGAACCTGTTGGAAATAAAGAGCTTTTAGGGACGCGGGTGGCGCTGTGGTCTAAACCACAGAGCCTAGAGCTTGCTGATCAGAAGGTCAGCAGTTCGAATCCCCGAGACAGGGTGAGCTCCCGTCGCTCGGTCCCTGCTCCTGCCAACCTAGCAGTTCGAAAGCACATCAAAGTGCAAGTAGATAAATAGGTACTGCTCTGGCGGGAAGGTAAACGGTGTTTCCGTGCACTGCTCTGGTTTGCCAGAAGCGGCTTAGTCACGCTAGCCACATGACCTGGAAGTTGTACCCCGGCTCCCTCAGCCAATAATGTGAGATGAGCACCGCAATCCCAGAGTCGTCTGAGACTGGACCTAATGGTCAAGGGTCCTTTTACCCTTTACCTTTTGTGATTGACAAAGGAAGCTGCCTTTTACTGAGTCAGACCGTTGGACCATCATGCTCAATATAGTCTACACTGACTGGCAGGGTTTCAAGTGGGTGTCTTTCTTAACTCTGCTTGGAAGTGCTTAGGGACTGAACTTGAGACCTGTTGCATGCAACACATGCACTCTATGAGCTATGGCCCATCCCTGTCCTTGTGGAATTTGGCAGAACAAACACTTGCATGGGAAATAGTGCAAAGCAAATGACCACTAAAATATGTAATATTGCCAATGTGTGGATTACAAAGCTCATAAGGTTATTAAATTACTGGATTTACATTAACTGTGCTTCTGGGTTTTCCACCCTTTATTATGGGCAGGTAACATAAGCCTGCCTGGCATTACATAGCAAGATATAGGAGTGGTTGTGCAGTAAGTACATCTGATGATTCAGTCTCCTGCCAACTCAACTTCATCACCTATAAGCAACAGGTGGTTCTGTAGCTTTCATCCAAAGGCTCCAAAACCATTGACGCAGTCTTTGCCAACAAGGTGTCACTCAAAGACTGAAGTGTCCAGGTACTGCAGACAGTTTAATTTATTGGAAATCATTCACAGACTGTAGAACTCTGGTC